ATTTATAATACTTCAAAATTTCACTCTTTCTTTATTTCCTGTACATTATGCATGACACTTTAGTTTACAAATAATACCACTTTATTAATTTTAAATTTCCATAATTTAGTTTCAAGGACTCATACACATACAACACAAATTTTTCTTATTCAACGTTATTTTGTTCCTTAACGTAACGTAGCCTGGAATCATTGCATGGAATGCAACTTCCATCAATTTCCTTCATTCCAATACTGTCACATTTTGATGCTTTCTTAACATGACTTTTCTTGTTTGTCTTCTTTTAGGTCTCCTGTAATGAATACAACATTTCAAAACTCCTCTCGTCAAAATTATTTTTCACTGCTAACTATAATAATTTTGTTTTTTAACAAATATTATTTATTTTACTTACTTTTCAATAGTTTAGGATGCTTCTTTTCAACTGCCTTGCATACATTTTTCTGGAACAGCTTTAAGTTCTTCAAAAAAAGGATGGAAACTAGAAACAAAAAATTTAAAAAATTATTTAGTGTAGGGTTGAGCCTCTGTTGGATTTGAACCTATGAAATGAATTCAAACAAGCCCCTGTAGGGTTGTATCACCACTGAAAGACCAACATATCAACCCTACACTGCAGGTATAATTGTCAATGATATCATAACTTAATTAAAGGAATGTACAACATTTACCATAATGCTCATTCAATCATTTAATTGCCATACTAACATTGATAGCAATACTCATCAGTGCTGCAAAGGCCATTTCATACCTGCAGTGTAGGGTTGATATGTTGGTCTTTCAGTAAGTAGATAGGCCTCATTTGCAATGTGTACACTATCAATGTAGTAATCAATATTGTTGTCCTTCTTGATATGTACATGTACATGTATGCTCATTGTCTCATTTCACTCTTGCACTTGTACATGAGTACTGTACATACAAATGATGCAATGTACCTTATCATCTCACACTGAATTGAATGTATTCTGATTATCTACTATGCAATAAACTAATAATACCATGTACGTGTACATCACCCTTCCTCTCTCACACATACAATTAATGTGTATGTACATTGTATACTGTCAGTGGTGGTAGAACAAAATTGAGTTTGGGTGGGTCAAACATTTTAATAATTATTAAAATGGGTGTGATCTTGTTTAAAAATGGCTGCTACTTTTTTACTATTTGATTTTTAAGCAGTTTTGTATGTTTCTTCTCAAATACATGATCGTCACTAATGCACTTTAGTTTAATTGCATTGATTCTTGTGTACATGTAGTGTGTATAACCATTACTAAATTGATGAAAATGTGTCAGTGTTGTTTTAGGTGCTCTTGCGATTTCAATGTAATAGTCATTTTTATTTTAGTTTGCAGAGATTATTTTATTGGTGGGTTGAGCCCCTTTTGTTTCAAAATTGGCCCCCAATTTTTTACCACCTACATGTACACGGTAGATATACAGTTATGCGTCTGTGCTTTATGGTTCATTTTCAAGTGTACTGAGTAGCTAGTGAAAACTCACCCTCTTTTATTTTTAAAGTATGTACATGCATGGTATAGTGTATTGCATAAGTGGTTTTTTAGGAAATTATATTTTTTAAAGATAATAAAATTCCAATTTACGGATTTAAATTTGCAAATTTCTACCCACATGCCATGTGGGTACTGTATTAAATTGATTTTTGCTGATTATATTTTTT